CATGCAGTCGCCAAACCTCGCGTTTATGATTTAAAAAAAAAAGTTACACACGACTTAAAACTGATGACGTTCGAATATTTCTCGGACAGTGCTTCACTGGAACCTCGATCTGTTGAATCACTACGCTGTAAATGCTTCACCCACGTACTTCAAACACAAATAATCACCAACAGAACCTAAACATCCAACCTAACATATCCATAACTGTACATAGAACTCTAATAATAATAATAATAATAATAATTTATCCATGAGAATTTTTTTTAATACTACGTTAAAGTGAGAATGCGTCTTGGGGAGGTTGGGGGGGGGCGAATATGGTCCGCCGTTCTAACTAGCCTAGTCTGAGGATGGGCTGTATTGTGAACACCCTAAATCGACGTAACTAGAATACCTTACGAATAATAATGATAATAATAGTAATAATAATATATTTGAGAAACGGTTAGTAATTATTCTGCATGATAGATTCATCCTGTTGGTTATGTAAGGTATAGGTCAAGTACTGACATTAAAAATATGCAAGTCAGTATTTGACTATTAGCTTGGGGGCTGGATGATGGATTTTGGTTTATAAACAGGACTTTATAACAAGTCAAGTTTACATACACGCCCACCCACGCGGTGTGTGTGTGTGTGTGTGTGTGCGCACCTAGACGTGCTTTCAGGATCGAGCTAGTTTCCTAGCCAATCCTTGTAGAGCATCGCATATTGACCTATACTCTAAGGCTAAAAATTTGTCGTGCTAGAAATTGGTAGCGGCTCGCGAAATTGACATAGTCTCCTGTTTTCTGTCCTTTGGTAGGTTAGGATAAGGGCAATTTAGTATGACAGTTTCTTAATGTTGGAAAACCTTAGGAGGACGGACTGTTCTAACCCCGCCTTCCGAACGTTGCAATGGATCATTTTTTCATGCTTTTAATAATAAATAATAATAATTCATTGTGTTGCGAGACAGGCACGCAATATATACATACATGTTAGGGTCCCGGTAGCACAGTCGGGTTCGTTCTCGACTCACAATCGAGAATTCCAGGTTTTTGAATCCCGGGTTGGGCGCATTTTCTATCACCTAATGCCCCTTTTCACCTAACAGTAAGTAGGTTCTCAGGAGTCATCCTGTCCTTATAAACAAAGACCCAAAGTCCATTCCATGCTCCCGCCAAACCAACTTGTTTATTAATGAAAAACGGTTTACTCAACTCAACCCGTCCTCGACTCTTAAGTCCATTACATCCACTGGTCGACCCCACAGACGCAGTCATAAATTTGTACATGCTGTTTATTCAAAACGGAAATTTTCTCAAATATAAATTAATATTATAATAGCATATTGTGCATATATATGCATAGGTTAGGTTAGGTGTTTAAGTTCTGTTGGCGATTATTTGTATTTGTAGTACGTGGGTGAAGCATTTACAGCGTTGTGATTCAAACAAAATTAGTCTGTGAAGCATTTGTTCCGGAAGTGTTCGAACGTCAGCAGTTGTGAGTCGTGTGTAAACCGTTTTTTATTCATAAACGGGGTTTGGCGGGTGCTTGGAATCACTTTTGGGCCTTTGTTTGGGGGACGGGCTCCACAACCAATCCGTCCTCGATTCAAGTCCATTACATCCAGCGGTCAACCCCACAGACGCATTCATAAATTTTAACTTGCTGTTCATTCAAAACGGGAATTTTCTCAAGTATAAATTAATATTATAATATATTAGCATATTGTGCATATATAGGCATAGGATAGGTTAGGTTAGGTGTTTAGGTTCTGTTGGCGATTATTTGTATTTGTAGTACGTGGGTGAAGCATTTATAGCGTTGCGATTCGAACAAAATTCGTCAGTGAAGCACTTGTTCCGGATATGTTCGAACGTCAGCAGTTGTGAGTCGTGTGTAAACCGCTTTTCATTCATAAACAGGGGGTTTGGTGGGTGCATGGAATCACTTTTGGATCTTTGTTTGGAGGACGGGCTGCCACAACTGACGACGTTTGAACACATCCTGAACAAGAGCTTCACTGACGACGTTCGTTCGAACCACAACACTGTAAAAATGCTTCACCCGCATACTACAAATAATCGCTAACACAACCTAAATGCTTAACCTAACCAATGCTTAAATACGCACAGTATAATATATACCAATATTAATTTATATTTTAGAAAATTCCTATTTTGAATGAACATTTTAAAATTTATGATTGCGTCTTTGGGGTCGACCACTGGATGGAATGGACTTGGTCTGTGGAAGGGTTGCAGGAGTTAGCTTGTTGTGGGGTTGCATCCTGGGCGTCTCGCTGCCTGTCCCCTGACACAATGAATTATTATTATTACTGTGTTAGGCTTGCTCCTCTCCACTCCCCTTGCGCCTTCCTCCCCACTCCCCTTGCTCCTCCTCACTTCCCTTGCTTCTTACCCCCTTCTCTGCTTCCTTTACCACTTCACTGTTCCCTTTACCACTTTCCTGCTCCCTCTGCCCCTTTACCCTCTTCCCTCTGCCCCTTTACCCCTTTACCCTCTTCCCTCTGCCCCTTTACCCCTTCCCTGCTCCCTCTGCCCCTTTACCCCTTCCCTCCTCCCTCTGCCCCTTTACCCCCTTCCCTCCTCCCTCTGCCCCTTTACCCCCTTCCCTCCTCCCTCTGCCCCTTTACCCCCTTCCCTCCTCCCTCTGCCCCTTTACCCTTCCCCCCCCTTCCCTCCTCCCTCTGCCCCCCTACCCCCTTCCCTCCTCCCTCTGCCCCCTTACCCCTTCCCTCCTCCCTCTCTGCCCCCTTACCCCTTCCCTCCTCCCTCTCTGCCCCCTTACCCCTTCCCTCCTCTCTCTCTGCCCCCTTACCCCTTCCCTCCTCTCTCTCTGCCCCCTTACCCCTTCCCTCCTCTCTCTCTGCCCCCTTACCCCTTCCCTCCTCTCTCTCTGCCCCCTTACCCCTTCCCTCCTCTCTCTCTGCCCCCTTACCCCTTCCCTCCTCTCTCTCTGCCCCCTTACCCCTTCCCTCCTCTCTCTCTGCCCCCTTACCCCTTCCCTCCTCTCTCTCTGCCCCCTTCCCTCCTCTCTCTCTGCCCCCTTACCCCTTTCCTCCTCTCCCTCTGCCCCCTTACCCCTTCCCTCCTCTCTCTCTGACCCCTTACCCCTTCCCTCCTCTCTCTCTGCCCCCTTACCCCTTCCCTGCTCTCCTCTGCCCCCTTTCCTGCTCCCTCTGCCCCCTTCCCTGCTCCCTCTGCCCCCTTCCCTGCTCCCTCTGCCCCCTTCCCTGCTCCCTCTGCCCCCCCCTTCCCTGCTCCCTCTGCCCCTTTACCCCTTCCCTGCTCCCTCTGCCCCTTTACCTCCTTCCCTGTTCCCTCTGCCCCTTTACTCCCCCTGTTCCCTCTGCCCCTTTACTCCCCCTGCTCCCTCTGCCCCTTTACCCCCTTCCCTACTCCCTCTGCATTACGTCTTACTATTAACTTCACCGTTTTATTACACACAGACTTAGAGAAAAGCATATTGACTTGAGGGAGGGAGGCACTTTGTGTGAATGAGGATTTATTACTTGAGAGAGTTAATGTGGTGTGAGTGGCAGAGAACCATCCTCCGTTTATCTCGGCAGTAATTCTTGTTTGGCAACACCATCCATTCCTGTGCTCTTTGGCACATACTGTAGTTCAGTTCTTAGCCTTTGTGATATATTTGTCCAGATATCCTGTTCCTTGGTAATCTTGTGTTTTTCAACACCCTCCTCGAAGTGTAAGGGGAACTGTCGAAACATCTGTAATTGTACAAAAAGAGAGAACTTTCTATACACATCCTAAAGGCACCTGGTTATCCTGGCTGTGATGCTTACATCAGTCAGACTGTGATCTATGGGCACCAATAGTTGGGTTGATCAGGTTAACTGCGAGGCCTGGCTCAAGATAGGGCTGCAGGAAAGGGACTCGTGGAACAATAAAAAATTAAGGGAGATAATAGTAAGGTAGTTATTACACCTTTGTACTCATTAAGCCACTCTATATCATGGGATATGCCAGCCAGATATGGTTATTAGTCACCCACATAGAAAAGTGCTGTATACTCTACACTATACCTGTACTTGTAGTGGTATTAAATGTGGTCCTCTTTCCCTTCCAGGTGTTACATAGTCATAGTGGCTTAGTACTTTTTCCTGATAATTCTAACAATGTGAAAAACGTAAAGGCAGCTCTCGATTTTCTCTCTTTATGCTTATGTTGTAGATTCTCCTATATTTAATAGTATATCTAATGTTTATTGAAAATTCAAGTAATAGTCATGGCCTTTTTTATTGTTTATGACTTAATGTCATAGAATTTGTCAGCTAAAAGAAATACAGTAGACATAATTCTTTTTTATGCTAGGACTGATCTTACTAAAAAAAATTTATACAATAGCACCCTCCCACCCACCCTCATAATGTTTATGTAAATACTAGAAATTATGTGGTGTATGATTGATGTTGCTTCTGTAGACTGTGAGCAAGTGGGTAAGAAATATATTAGTACAGTATGTTTAGATATTGCTTATAAGTCATGTAATGTTACAGGAATATTCATGATTATCAGTGATAAGTATCATTAGGAGTAAAACAAACTTTTTTGTTTTGTTTAATATTTATTTTTTCTTGCCAAGATAGGTATTGAAAGCACTTACAGAACACCATAGTTCCTCTTTGTTTTGTAAATGTTGAGGTGAAATGTGGGCATGTAGTTATATGCACTGCTTCCTGACTGGGAAGATTACAAGATTTCTTCAGCTCCTTGATTACTTGAGAGCATATTTACTGTCCACATTTCAACCCTTCTTAAATAGGTTCCAATTCTGAAACTGCACTTATTTATTTTTGTATTTATTTTAACGAACTAGCAAAACTGCATGCTGATGTCAGTTAATGGGGATTCAACATTTTTTCTACCTTAATTCTATTCAGTCATATAAGTGCTAACATAGAATTGGTACCTCAGTCAGCTAGTACACTTTGAAGGTACCCCAAGCATGACTGGAAGTGTGTTTTCCAGGTATGGAGATTGCCAACGGAAGTGGAATGGGTAAGCGGTGACCCCCGTAGTGTGCGTAGCGTGCTGTCCCTCTTGGATTGGTTTGTCAATCCCTGGCTCTTTGCTCACATTGCCTTCTCTCAAGATTAAGATGACCTGCTAGTCAGATGCCCTAGCTCTTCAGCATCCCACTCTTAATGCTGGAATTCCTTTAACTTTCCTGTGAAGTAATTTTTCCTGCATACGATATGATCTAATAACTTTAGTCTCTTCTTAATATCTAGTAACATGACAAATTATCCAGAAATGGGAAATTCTGGCCTCAAGGTATACTGTATTAAGAATTTAATTTAGTAATTAGCATACATATTTTTGCATTTGTTAATATAACTCTGCAAAATAACTGGAATGTCTAGTTAACAGTTTAAAACACTAAATATAACCTTATACAAAAATGTATCTTAGAAAATCTTGAAGATATTTAGTCTTCAGGTCTCATTTTAAAGAAGTTTGAAAATAATATACAGTATAAGAAAATGTAGTTAATCATAGACAATGAAATCAACATAACGGTACAGTATGTGAACATTTCCTAAAATGCCAGTAGATTGTCTGACAAGTTAACACTTCAGAATTCCTGTATAATGATTGTAGAAATGTCAGTGTGAGAAAGTTTTATGTGCTGTTCAGTATTTAGAAAATACTAAAACTAATAATTTGAGTTGAAACAGTGGCCTATAGGCCACTTCCCTATAGTTTTAGGGGGAAGGGTCTCTGATAATAAATTTATGATTTACTAAATGAAAATTTATACAAGCTGAAAGTTTCAACAGCTATTTGTCTTTTATGGCAATCTTGATTTAGTGCAATAGAAAACTAGCCAATAGTAGTGTTCTTTGAGGTAAGACAAATGATAGTGCTATATATATACTGTATGTGCTTTAGGTTTATCACTATAAAACATTACATTATCAGATGTTTTTAAAATTTCTGTAAAAAAAAACCTTCTTTGGTAACAATTACAGTACTGGTGCTTGCTTTTTTTATGGTTTAAGGTTATGACAAGCATGCAGTAGTTGCAAAAGTATAGTTAAACATACAATTTTCTGCTGTAAAATTTGAAATGTTTGCTCATTATTCTGAGTATAAAGCTATCAACCGTAGAAATTTCATGGTATTTGAGTAAACCTTTCAGTGATCAGGTATGGCTGGGTTGGCATTAGTGTTACTAGCTTAAGAGACATTCTAAATGTTATTCAGTACTGTATTTGCTTGGTTTGCCACTTGACTCCCTTGAGCTTCTTTGTTTGCCAGCATGGTTCATTGCCACTTTGTTTGCTTTAGGTTTCTTTGCTTGCCAATATTTAGAGATCTCTTAAAAAACCTGTTTGCGGTACTTGGTTGTGTTCATGGTGGATTGCTGTTTGCTTGGGCTTTTTACCTTGGAATTTGATAATCAAGTTAGTTAATCTCTGTACCCAACTTGCTAATCAGTAGTTGTAATTAATAAGCTATAAATCTGCAGATACAGTATATAATTAACAAGCGTTGTGTATATTACCGACTTAAAAAAACAAGCATTGAATGTAATGAAATGCCTCTTTCTGTTAATCCCAGAGGCTCACTGAAGCTATCTTGCTGCGATAAATTCCTACTGCTTGGCCTACCAGAACCAGAAACTGGGCTCTGCATAGAGGCAGAGAGAGCCGAGGATTGTTACAATCACCTACACTGAGAAAGCATCCAGAAAGGAAAGTGATACAAACCACTCAACGGTTACAAAAATGAAGCACCACAACTGTCAACTCTTCAAATGATTCACTTAAAACCAAAATGGTTCACTTGAAGATTCATTCAAATCCCCTTGTGTGCAAAGGGCCAGCAGGTGGTGTCTTGAAGCTCCCTCTCTCGGGTAGCACTGGATTAGTTGATTGATCACAAATCAACATTCCAGGTAGGGGGGAGGGGGGAGATGGGGAGCCACCAGGACTCTACCAGAAAGAGGCATTTCATTACATTCAACTCTGGTTTTCTGAGGGGGGGCCCCCCCAGTGGCTCCCTGATGCTATCTAACCACAGAGAAGGAAAATATGGGACTTGCCAGGGAGGAGCAAAGATGGCAGCTACATATTCAAAAAAGAGATGCCTGGCTGGGAAACCTGACCCAGGGCAATGCAAATCCAACCAGGACTAAATATTGAAGTGCCAAAACCCTTCAGAACTCCAAAACCCCCTGAGCTTGAATATCAGCCCATGACATATCAGACCATGAGAAGACAGCAGCCAAAGTTGTAAACATGCGAACATCGTGGGACCTGTGGGTTGACTGCAGGCTGGCTAGCTTTAATGACACTGCAGACAACCTGAGATGCATGCACCTTGGAACAGAGGACCAAGTTAACTGGATCAACTAATAAGATATCCACGGAGAAGATCGGTTGGCACACAAGTAACAGTGAGCTTCTGCTACCAGACATAATAAACGATGCACCCCCAACCAGAAAAACCAAACATTGGTCACCAAAGAGCCTCTTCCAAAACACCATCTTTAAAAAGTACCCCATACCAAAGAGGCAACCATGAATTTGGGGAAGAAGAAAAAATGCCAGCACTCTATCGAGAGATCAAAATGGCTCAGGAGCAGCATGAGCTAACTGGAGGTGAAAGAAAACCCAAGACAACCAGTGACCTGGGAAAGACAGCTAGATAATGCAAATTAAACCAGTGTCTTGAGAAAATAGGCACAGTAGCACTAGAAATATGTGCGAGTCACGTACCACTAAAGAGAAAGAAAAAAAGATGCAAACTGGAATGAGAACAATGTTCCCTCTATAGGCAACAAAAGCAAATTACACATGATCTTAAATGCTCCACTCTATCTCAAGAACAACAAAGAAAGCTATGTACAGAAATAGAAACGATTGACCTAAAGCTGCAAGAATTATAGAAAATCCAAGAGAGACAAAGAGAGCAAAAGGCCATAAGCAAAATAGAGAGTAATCCAAAATACAGTACTTTTTTAATTCTACACAAGATCTAGAACAAAAACTACATTCTGCATTCGGGCCCTGCACATGGGTGGTGAAACTTTCACAGACAAATGATAGCGAAGAAATGAGTGAAATACTAAGGTTACAGTACAATTATGTTTTCAGTGAACACCTGAACACATTGCAGATCAATGTGTTCGCAATGTATTGCAACAGATACAACATATATGAGGCATACTGTAACCAACAGCAAGTGAGGCCCTAACCTTACTGAACTTCCTTCATGCAGAGTGAACAGAACCCCTCTGCAATAAAATCTGAATGAGGATTCAAAATGCTACTGCAGTGCTAAATTAACTTTGGAGATATCTTTCCATGAAAGAACAGAAGCAAAAGAGGTAGACAGATAAAAGGGTTCAGGACCAGGCCGAAAATTAGCAAAACTAGGAAGGGGGGAGGTGTGGCCATGCTGGTGAAAGAACACCTGGAGGTAAGAGTGTTATAATCAAAAACCCTCGAAGTTGACATAATGGCATTGCAGGTCTGGAATCAGAATAAACTGTTAATTGTAAATGTCTACAGCCCACCAGCAAGCAACACATGGACAAAGGAGGAACTGGATGACAAACGAGAGGGCCTCATAATGGTCATGAGAGAGAGATTGTAGTAAGAGCAGATAGAGGTAAGTCACAATTGTTGGTACTGAGGGACTTCAACTTGAAAGCAATAGATTGGGAGGTCTTTGAAGCAAGAATGGGGGACATTTGGACAAGCAGATTTGTAAACCTCATTCTGGAGACATTCATGTATCAACACGTCAAGCAGACTACAAGAATGAGGGAAGGGGGATGTTCCATCAGTACTGGATCTAATATTCACCAGGAAAGAAGAAGAGATATTTGACATCCAGTACAGTACCTTCATTCCTTGGGCAACAGTGATCATGTCTTTTTGGAAATTAAATATGCTTTGCGATATAATCTAGAAGAGAATGGGGACATTAAAACAGTTAATAAACTCGATTTCAAGAGAGGACACTATAGGAAACTTAAAATTCTTTAATGAGTTTAATTAGACAGGCCTGTTGCTAGACAAGGAAGTAAATAAGCTATATGCCAAATTTTGCAAAATATATGATGAAATCACACAAACATTCATAGCAAAGAGAGATGCAGACCCAGAAAACAGGATTGGTTCAACAGAAATTGAGAGGGCCAGAGAGGAAAAGATAATAAAATGGGTTCAGTATCGGAAGAGGCCTAACCCACAAACATACCAGCATTACAAACAAGCTAGAAACAATTATACAGCAATGAGAAAAGTGGCCAAAAGAAATTAAGAGGAATGTATAGCGGACAAATGTAAAACAAATCCATCCAGTCCTTTTGAAAAAATTCATTAAAAGCAAGCTGCATATAAAAGATAAAATAAAGAGATTGAGAGTGGGGAACAGGACTACTGAGAATGAAAAAGAAATGTGTGAAATGCTAAATGAACAGTTTCAAAGTGTTTGTACAAAAAGGAGGATTTCAGAGAGCCGGACTAAATACCAATTCCAGAACATGCCATAGAATACATAGAGGTATCACAGGATAAAGTGGGAAAAATTACTCATGGGACTAAGAAGAAATAAAGCGGTTGGACTTGGAGTTTCACCTTTGGTGCTGCAAAAATGTGCAACCGAGCTGAGCATTCCGGTCCAATTAATATTCCAGACATCCATGTGCACAGGAATCTTAGCAGATATATGGAAAAAGGCAAACATAGTACCAGTCGATAAAAATGGTAGTCGAGAGGAACCTCTAAATTACAGGTGTCATTAACAAGCGTGGTAGTTAAGACACTAGAAAAAATAGTTAAAAGCTAAATGTGTTGAACACCAGGAAAGTACTGACATGATAATGGACAGAGAGTATGGTTTTCGAACAGGAAAATCCTGTGTAACAAATCTACTTAACTTATATGATAGAGCCACAGATATACTATAGGAAAGAGATGGTTGGGTTGACTGTCTATTTGAACCTAAAAAAGGCTTTTGATAAGAGTTCCACATAAGAGACTGTTCTGGAAATTGGAACATGCTGTAGGGGGGGGAGGGGGTGCAGGGAGACTTCTGACATAGATGAAAAACTTTCTAACCGACTGACAGATGAGGGCACTAATCAGACGATGTATCTGACTCAAGGAGTGTTACTAATAAAGTACCACAGGATTTAGTTCTTGCACCAGTAATGTTCATCGTCTACATAAAAGATCTACCAGAAGGAATACAGAATTATATGAACATGTTTGTAGATGATGCTAAGATACTGGGGAAGATAGGAGGTGCAGATGATTGTAATGCTCTTCAAATTGATCTAGATACAATAATTGCTTGGAGCATCAAGTGGCAAATGGAAATCATTGTGAATAAATGCCATGTTATGGAATGTGGTATCAGAGAAAATAGATAATACACAACTTACAAATTATGTGGAAAGGAATTACAGAATGCTAATAAAGAACGAGACCTAGGGGCGGTTTCGGATTGTAAGCTGTCGCCAGAGGAACACATAAAGAACATTGCGAGAGGAGCATGTGTGTCACTTCCCAACCTCAGACTTGCGTTTAATTATATGGATGGTGAAATACTAAAGAAACTGTTCATGACTTTTGTGAAACCAAAATTGGAATATGCAGCAGTTGTATGGTGCCCAAATCTCAAGAAGCACATGAATAAACTGGAAAAGGTGCAGCGGCATGCTACAAAAAGGCTTCCGGCACTGAAAAACGAGTTACAAGGAGAGACTAGGGGCGTTAAACATGCCAAAATTAGAAGAGGGAGGTGATAGAAGAGAGAGGTGATATGATCACCACTTACAAAATACTAACAAGAATATACCAAATTGACAAAGAGGAATTCCTGAAACCAGCAATTTCATGACCAAGAGGACACCGATTCAAGCTAAGAAAACAGGTGCCAAAAAATATTTACAAATTTTCTTTTGCAGAGTGGTAGACAGTTGGAACAAACTTGAGGTGGTGGTGGAGGCCAAAATTGTCAGTAATTTCAGAGCAGTATATGACAGAGTGCTGGGAAGACGGGACACCACGAGCATAGCTCTCATCCTGTAACTACACTTAGTTACAGGATGAGAGTACTGTGCTGCGCCAACCAAGAAATCTCGTTCTGAGAGTTGTACTTTTTTTTTTTAATTAGGCTATATTTTAATTATTTTTTATTGTTTTGAAGTGAAAATAGTTGAATTTGGAAACATTTTGACATTAACTTTACCTGAACATTTATAAAAACAACAAAAATATGTCCTTAACAATTGCACTATGAAATTTTTGCTAAAAACAGGTGCGCAGTGTAGGGGTTAATTACCAGGGACTGGTGCCAGTGAATCTAAGTCATCATGGAGCTAATATGAAAAACATCTCCACAACAGCTCAAACATGCAAGACAACTACCAAGTGGGAACAAGCACTGTGGTCCTCTGCAGTAAGGGCTCCAGATAGCACAGGCAGCTGGACATGGAACTACCACTTCCTCCTTTCCTTGGGGAGCACCAGAGCAAAGAAGCAGGTCTCAAGTGGTGCAAAAAGAGTACCACCTAAACACACCTAAAGTTGGAGCCCGAGTCCTGCCACTCAAGGGTCTTGCTCACTCATGGAAGACAGAAGAAAATGTGTATATACTGGTTAGCAGTGTAAATGTGTTGCACATCTGTGGTAGGAAAAAAAAAATGCAGGTTTGACAGAATCCATGCCAAGCTTCCAAGGAAAAGGTTAGAGTTGTAAGCCAGTCAGGATGGGTCAGGAATCTCGTACCAAATCCAAAATGCAAAGGCAAACTAGTACAAGGACAGGTCCATCAAGGAAGTAAGGTCTGGATTCCTATGATGTACTGAAAAATGTCTGCTCACACCAAAGAAGATGAAAGGCGAGATGATAGAATTCGGAAATGAAATGCCTTTCCAAAAGTGAACGGTATATGGAAGTGCATCTGCGGGGAAGTTCGAATGCATCACAGACTTCAATATGCAGCAAGATGGAGACAGACAGAATGACCATTGGCATATAGAAAGGCTGATACCTGCTTGATGGGGTTCTGGGAGTTGTTGTTCTCCCCAAGAAACACGTAACATAACCAACAGTATGCCCCTAACCATATGGCCTCACAGAGGAGTCAACAACCCATGCACTACCCATAGTCATAGTCTAAAACACACACTCATGAAGTAAAACAGAAAAACAAACAAGCAAAATTGTACCCCCCACAGAACCAAGTACAGTACAAAAGGTGGCCAGCACTTTTCAGGGAAAAGAATTGCGACCCATTATCTCGAGATGACTCAGGAAGGACCAATTGGTCTAACATCAGTGACAGGACTGACTCAGTACTGCCCGGTAGCAGGAGCTACAGGATGCCACCTGTTGGAAGCTTTATGCACTAAGGGATTTGGGCACAAATCGGGGGAACTATTTTGATTTTGATTGAATCACTTGTGAAGTCATTTGGCAGTTTCAGTGCTTTGTTTTTGTGAACTATGCAGTGGTTTGTATTGCTTCGCTTACTTTCTGGGTACTCTCTCGGTGGGTGATCATAACAATCTACAGTTCTCTACACCTCTGAGAGGGGAAGCCGGGTACTGGCTTTCTTTGGTAAGTCAAGTCATATGACCAATGTGACTCGGTAGTGGGATGCCATCTCGGCAAGGCAACATCAAGGATCCACTGAGGCCTCCCTCAGAAATTATTATATTTGGTTGAGTGGTTTTCCTAATGCTTATTTGTCCTGATGACTAGTAGATTTATTAATTTCTTGAGCATTTTCATCTTTTTCTGGTTAATATTAGTTTATTTATAAAAAGATCACGGGGGATGATCTATAGGGAAAAACATATAGTATGCTTTACCACATTACTATATTCCCGTAATGTGTGTGTACAACACATTAAATACCTTATCATGTATGATTGCCAGATCATGATGATGCTAGGTAAGCTTAATAAATATCACAGCATTGCCGACTACTGTACATATAAAGCACAAATTATACACAGATGTGGTATGATATACCAGTACTGTGATATACCAGTACTATGATATAACAGTACAGTACTATGATATACCAGTACTATGATATACTAGTACTATACAGTACTCATTATACACTACTTTATTTGTTGCCTGAGATATGCAGACTTGGGAATTCATCTCTTGATCAGCTATTATCAAAAGATATTCAGTTATACTGTAGCTTTATTAATAATGTCTAATGTCAAAGTGGTTGACAAACTAATATCCTGCTATTGACCATTTGATTGCCAAAATTTGTTATGAATTTAACTGGGTTGAAGGTTCCATGTTTAACAAAATAGGATTTTGTTTTGTAATACTGTACTTAATTCAATGCAGGAAGGGAACACAGAGGGAACAAATCCTTTGATTTTCTCTTTGGTTGCTCTGAATATTGAATATGCTCTTCAGATATTCTCAACAGATAATACAGCTCTGTGATACATAATAATATGTGTGAGATCAAGGAAAAACTAGCTCTGTCTTTTATGTAAATGTTTTGTATTGCGTTAGTAAATAATGTGTATATTATTTTGACTCGAATATAATTTTCTTTCAGGCACTGGAAATACCAACACAGATGGGACATACAAACCATCATTCCTCACAGACCAAGAACTGAAACACTTAATATTAGAGGCAGCTGATGGATTTCTCTTTGTAGTAGCGTGTGACACTGGGAGAATTATCTATGCATCGGACTCCGTTACTCCGGTTCTCAATCAGCCTCAGGTGAGCAGTTATCACAGTGCAGGGAAGCTGAAAGACATGAATTGGTGACAAATAAACATGTATATTGTATTGGCAAGACTGGGGAAAATATAATGAGGTTACATTTATCCAAAGTAATTGACAGCATTGAATACCTGTGTTTAGATTGAGACTTGTTATATTAGGGGCTGTTTGTGTCTGTTGCTCTTGTATATATTTATATATACAGTATAGTACTGTGTGTGTGTGTGTGTGTTTTATTTAATCAGTGAAACCTGTAACACTCACAGTATTGCACATATTTTGATCATGTGATTATGTGAAATGGTAAATATTAGAAATTAAAATATATAAAAGATGTATAATCTTGTCAACCTTGGATAACTAAACATTATTTTAAAGGATCTTATTTGTGACATTTATACTACAGCACTATTTGTATTGCAGTCATTTGAAAGTCACTGTCTAGTATGTGCTTTAGAACTTAACTGTAAAGAAAAAACTGTCTAATCTGAATCATATGGGGATCCACCCCTGATCGAGTTAACAGAGTATTCAAGTTAGCCAAATTTTTACTGGGAATGTCGAAAAATTTGACATTCAAATTTATTCAAGTTTCTTGTTTGGCAGAAATTGAAATAACCCAAATTTCTATTTGAATTCCGAAGTTAAACAATTAAACCCAAAATTCAGACTTTGAATCATTTGCGTATATTGCCTCATTACTGGACACCGAAATTTAAAACTTCAGATATATATCAATAAAATCATCAAATGGGTAAGAGAAACTACTTGACAGCAATAAACAGCAATAAATTCCAGCTATAATACTAAGTTATGGAAAGAATGAGGAACTTTTCCCAAAGAATGGCTCTAGAAGTAATGATATAGGATGACTTAACATTCAGCAAGCATAACAGACCCTGGATAATAGAATTCTTGGAGAATAGAAGAACTCAAAACCAAGTATAGTACAGGTGAATTACAGGCAAACTAGAGCAAACATGGCATCAGCCTGTATAATGATATGGTAGAATGAGAACTTTAAAATCCAGGTATTCCACCACAATGCAGGAGAAGTTTCTGAAAGGAAAAAATGCAGAGAACAGATACTGCACACATTGATATGGTAAAACTCCTAAACTACTGGGATCAACTCACAAGTGCTCAAAATGTACTGTCTGGAAAGTAGACAGTAGAGGTATTACATTATAGATGCATGGATGTAACCTGAAGTTCAAATCACAAATATTCACAATGAAATATATAACAACTTAATGGAGTGAAAGATAGGATACGAACTGCAAAATATATCCAAGGAAGAGTAGAAGTATCATGGACACAATCGGAGAATACTGCATGAGCAGCACGGGCTCATGGCTCCACCTCCCTCTACCAAACAAAAAAATATTGCTTGAACAAAAGTGGACATTTTCATGGGGCAATTTAACAAATTCTTAAAGGAAGTGGAAGATAAAGTAGATTGTAATGGATATGTAGACCTACTGGCTTCCCAAACAACAGCCTAACAAATCAGATTATAACAGGCAAGCCTGTAATGAAAACAAACTACAGATAAACGACAAATGGTAAGGAACAAGTATGTGTTACAGCACTTTGTAAGAAAGGAGAAAATTACAGCATTTTATTCATATTGTGAGAGAGAATTCATGTGAAGCTGTCTACCCCAGGGCTTGTAAAGCAGTGGAGTGAGGTAGTGCTTGTTTTTCCATGATTCTATTATCGTGTGACTGTCATTTATTAGTCATAATAAATGGCTGATATTTATAATTCTTAATGTCTGTAACCATTTTTCTTTGCTATTTATCATTTTTTCTGGGCTGATGACTAACCAACCATTGAAGTTCTAAACAGAGTAATTATAATGTATTTTTATATTATATAGCGGATATATTGAAAATTTTCAGAGCGACTGGTTTGGGTCAAGCGTTTATGAACATGTTCACCCAGAAGACGTAGAAAAGGTCAGAGAACAGCTAAGCACACAGGAACCTGCTAATCAAGGACGTATATTGGATCTGAAAACTGGCACTGTAAAAAAGGAGGGTCACCAATGTAAGTATACTGTCACAAAGATTAATTATTGAAGTGCATATTTAGTTTCCGTCAGTCACTTGCAAAAAAAATAAGATACAGTATTTAAATTTACAATATTTTAAATAGTTGTACAAGGTATATGTTGATTAGCTTCCCTTTTCCCAATTAGCCTATACTGTCCTTGAATGTAGAATAGGGTAACCTCTAAAAGCTTTTGTAGTCACATGACAATAAGCCAAAAATTTAATTAGAAGCTAGAGAATCTGTTAGGGTATGAAACTATAGTATATAAACACTGGCATACAGTATTATTGATTTATTATATACATATTATTTGTTTAATTTTGTGTGTGCAGACAATGAGTCACAATTACGTGGCTTCGGATATGAAGACTAAACCATACACCAGATAATGAAGAGACGACGGCATTTCTGTCCATCCTGGACCATTATCAAGTCGATCAAGTCCAAATCGACTTGATAATGGTCCAGGATGGACCAAAACATTGTCGTCTCCACATTTTCTGGTGTGCGGTTTAGAGCTTCATAATTTTGTATGTACTGTATTTTCATTGATCTGTGATCTTTTACAGCATCTATGAGATTGTGTATGGGATCCAGAAGAGGGTTTATTTGTCGGATGAAAGTAGGCACAGTTACCCCGGAGAACATGAACTCTGGTCACCTGAACAGATTACGACAAAGAAATTCTTTAGGTCCTGCTAGCGATGGACACAATTATGCAGTTGTCCATTGCACAGGCTACATAAAAAACTGGCCCCCAACTGGAGTTCAGGTAAGCTGAAGGAAATTCAACCCTGTATTTAACATGCTGTAATTGGTTTTCTCTATACAGTATAGTATTCAACTCATTTAATCATTTGGCTATTATAGCTTTATTTTCTCTGGTTGAATATTATATGTATATTTTTTAATTGATTTTTAAACAGTGATATTTTTCTTTTATCCTATATATACCAGCATATGTCCATACCATTAAAAAAAGCCTTACATTTCATTATTGTGCTGTACCATTATTTACAAATTCTAAGTGATGTCACTTACTTAACTTACTTACCATCACTTAAATTGTACCTTAGTCAATACACTAATCAAGTATAGTATATCACTGTACCATGCACTAATTGTCTCATTGTATTGTTCAGTAATTAATTGCAGCATTGTAGCATGCACCAAACAAGAGTGCAAGCTGTAGTCGAGAGCCTGATCAGCCAAGATTGCCTATCACTGTTTCCTTACTGCATACTAACCACCTCGCCTCACAATAATTCATGTTCTCTATGTGCATCTCTCCATTCTTCCCCCATACATGTTTAATGGTGTAAAAGGTAGAGTTCTATGTGCAAAACCATGCTTTCTAAATGCATGTCTTTCAAGGGAGTCGGTCGGCCGAGCGGACAGCACGCTGGACTTGTGATCCTGTGGTCCTTGGTTCGATACCAGGCGCCGGCGAGAAACAATGGGCAGAGTTTCTTTCACCCTATGCCCCTGTTACCTAGCAGTAAAATAGGTACCTGGGTGTTAGTCAGCTGTCACGGGCTGCTTCCTGGGGGTGGAGGCCTGGTCGAGGACCGGGCCGCGGGGACACTTAAAGCCCCGAAATCATCTCAAGATAACCTCAAGAAGGGTGAACTAAATATTCCAAAAACATATCCTTGGTGGGTTACACTACCCCATCTTCATTGTAGATAGGATGCTTACCAAGAAGACACTTGATATTGATGCTTAAGTACCTTTCATTGATGTTTGGATATTGAAGGTTATTCATTAAATGTTATAACATTAAGAAATGTCATAATGTTATTGCAGATGGATCGTGAAGAGGAAGCACATGGTTCCTCTCACTGCTGTCTGGTGGCAATCGGTCGGCTTCAGGTTACCTCAACTCCCAACACATCAGACCTCATGGGATCAAACTCTCAAAATGGTTAGAGAAAGTGCCTTCTTTCATTGATGACACTTTGACTAAAATTATATTTTACATGCATTTCTCGTATGATAACCCAATATACAGAATTTCACTTGAACCTAATTGATAAATTATGAGTGATATCTATTATTGTACAGTATATTGAATTTGCTTTTCATTCATTTGTGCTTTTCATTCCGTTAACCCTTTGGTTACGACAATGTTTTTCAGTTATAACCCTTCCGAGGGTCGTAATGCACCCAAAAAAACTAAATTTTTGACATCTGTATTTTTCTATTACAGATCTAGTAATAGGCTCTTTCTGTGTGTACCATTAAAAAACTAGTGAAATAATAAACACTACTTTTTTATTTATTTTTTTTTAGTCCAATATAAAGATTTAGGGTTAAGTGTTCAACTACTGGTCAACTACTGCCTCAGGGTTTTTCCAAGGCTTCATCTATTGTAATATTGAGCCCATCTACAAAAATCATCAAAAACATGATTGGAGCCATATTAAGAGTGTTACCATTCATACCCTAATATTTTCCATGCTCTATGGGCTGATTTCATTGGGTAAAAACTTAATTTCAACCTTCCTTATGAAGGGCATCTACCAAGAGAGTCTGTCTGTAAAGAGATTTAACTACATCTAGTATATTTCTCACACCCTAGCCTTCAAATCTCATTTTCAAAGGAAAAATTTCAAAGGCAAGAAAAAAGGAAAAAGTGTTAAAAGTTACCATTATAGGGCACAGAAAGAGCATACTGTATGTATAATGTTGGCCTTATGGGCAAGAAATGAAGTTATAGTACTTCTAATGAGTGTGCCTTTTACTGCTTTGTGAAATATTATTGGGTTACCATTATTATTGGTTATATTAAGAAGGGTTGATTTGATTTTTACTTCAACAGAGTTTATATCTCGTCATGCTATGGATGGAAAGTTCACCTTTGTTGACCAGCGTGTGATGACTGTGTTGGGGTACTCTCCGCAGGAACTACTAGCCAAGCCTTGTTTTGATTTTTTCCACCCAGAGGATCAGACGCACATGAAGGAAAGCTTTGATCAAGGTAAAATATTTTAATGTTTGTCAATAAATATATAAGGTCTTAAAACTCATATGGGATGATATTGCTATTTTCTCTTCATTTTCATGTACTGTACTGAAATTCATCTCTTGATATTCAGAAAATTAGCATTTGCATAAAAATAATTGGGCCTTCATTTTTTTTAATAAAAATATTACAGTGCATATCAACACAAGATAATATCTGACAGTAACTTGTACTAAACATTTGTACTGAATTGCTATAATATTACTATGCAACTTAAAGCTATTTTCTGTAATTGCAAGACTTAAAATTGATTGTAATTTAGAAAACTTCATATTTTGTTTCCAGTATTGAAACTGAAAGGTCAAGTGATGTCCGTTATGTACCGTTTTCGAGGAAAGAATCGAGAGTGGGTGTGGCTGCGAACATCTGCGTTTGCCTTCCTCAACCCATATACTGATGATATTGAATACATTGTTTGCACAAATACAGCTGCCAAGTAAGTTCAGTGTAATATTGTGTGTTTATTTGAATGGCTTCTCTGAATATTTTAAGGACAATGAAATTAGAAAAGTAGTAGCAACAATCATAAGGCTGCTGTATGATATAAATGGTAGTAGCAACAATCATAAGGCTGCTGTATGATATAAATGGTAGTAGCAACAATCATAAGGCTGCTGTATGATATAAATGGTAGGTAATCATACATACAACATGTATGTATGTAGGTAATACATACAACAATCATAAGGCTGCTGTATGATATAAATGGTAATTTATTTATATTGGGATTTGCCTATTTTCCTCTTGGGATACATTTTTAGTTTCCACTGAATTGATTTATTTAAACATATAGATGTGTGATGAATAAGAGTACCTGTTATATATTTCATTTATATTTCAAATAAATAATATATATAATGTATATTAGGAAAAATATACATTTGCTACAGTAATCTTTAGTGAGATGAGATACTGCCTTGTGACTCATAAATACCCATCAGCACAATCAAGGAACATCTGTGCACCATGTCGGCTCCAAATGCACTCATTGTGTCAGTGATGGCTGACTGGTGGGTGGATGGGCAGGCAGGGAGGGAGGGAGGCAGGGAGCGAGGGAGGGAGGCAGGGAGCGAGGGAGGGAGGCAGGGAGCGAGGGAGGGAGGCAGGCAGGCAGGCAGAGCTTGGGAGAGAGGCAGAGATTGGGAGGGGGTAGGCTGGAAGGAAGGCGGGCAGGCAGAGCTTGTGAGGGAGAGACAGGGAGGCAGGCAGGCACGGAGGGAGATTGGCACAGAGGGAGGCAGGCAGAGCTTGGGAGGGAGGCAGGGAAGGAGAGGATGGAGATGGATTGATGGAAGGATGGAGGAAGGGATGGAAGGATGGATGATTTGAGGGTGTGTGTGTGTGTATGGGGTGTAGGGGAGGGGGTGGGGGAGGTGTGTCGGTGGTGGTGAAGGGACCGACTCGGTGTTAACCATAACTCTGACCCAGTTAACTTTTTTTACCTTGATTTGTTTCTTCAATTCTGGATGGATGGATGGAGAGAGAGAGAGAGGCACGGAGGGAGGGAGGTATGAGAGAGAGAGAGGGGGATGGAGAGAGAGCGAGGGAGGGAGGGATGGAGAGAGAGAGGGGGGATGGAGAGAGGGAGGGATGGAGAGCGAGGGAGGGAGGGATGGAGAGAGGGAGGGAGGGAAGGATGGAGAGAGGGAGGGAGGGGGGATGGAGAGAGGGAGGGAGGGAGGGAGGGAGGCAGGGAGGGAGGGATGGATAGAGGGAGGGAAGAAGGGAGGGATGGAGAGTGGGAGGGAGGGAGGGATGGAGAGTGGGAGGGAGGGAGGGAGGGAGGGATGGAGAGTGGGAGGGAGGGATGAAACACGCATGGTGCTGTGTGTACAGGGATTAGACCCGTCCACTCACTCACGCTGGAGTTGTTCTACTAACATACAGTAATTTCTCAAAGAGCAGATGTCTATCATATTACAGTATATTTTCGGTTTAGTACTGATATACTGTTCCCTAACATAGTTTTTTCATAAATATTATTATAATTTTGCAAATAAATTAGTAAATGGTTATTCTGTTGATAGAAAATGCTATGTGCATTACTGTAGTCAAAATTACATTTAATAACAAAAATTAAATTACTTATCACACACCTGATCTACCTGCCTTGAAGCCATAGGCCTGAATTTTATAAAGTAAGGCACTAAATTAACATTTGTATAGTATAGGAATTTATTTCAAATAAGTGCTACTGTATATTGTTTTATACTACATTAGGCATAATCATGACACTAGTGGGTGAATACAAGTTACTAACCAAATTTATCCTCTTCCTAAAAATGAATTTCCAAGGCCTTTTGCCTCATAACACTATGGAAAGAAGGTGGCATAGTGCCTCATCTTAAGGCCTCCAGTGGTACATTACACTTGACCTAACAGTTGCTTCCTTTTGAGCTGCTTTGGCAGAGCTGCTTCCTCCTTAGTTTGTGCCTCAGACTCTAAAGTCTTCCTTCTCTCCGTCTCCCGTTCATTATCCAAGCCCATTTGGTTTCTCAAAAAAATTTCAGATTTGTGTGTGTAGGCAGATTGAGAACCTTGCTTTAAAGATGCTTTTGGTTTATCTGTCCTTGAGTGGACCAGGTGCACTTTCCTGCTACAGCCATATGTTGCTATCTCTGGGTTTCTGAGTGGATTCAAGCTATGTCTTTTTCTTAATCATTGAACCAGGATGCCCTGTACTAAAGCAAGATGGACTGCATCACAGCTATGTGCTTTGCATTTATCCTGGCTGCTGCTGCTGCATGACACAAACAACATTTAGATCATGCTGGGATAATTGTTCTTGGGTTTTGTCTTGGATTACCTGTTCAGATTATTTGATGTACTCTTGAGAATTCATTTTGCTGTAATGTTCTTCAAAATGGTTTTAGTAATGAATATGATGATGTCAGATGATAGTATTGCTGGGAGAATATATATTTATTTTCAGCATAATTATCTACTGTCCCAATTTCATGGGTTGAGATGATGGGGAAGCACCGAAAAATATTGCAATAAAATGAAGATTCAACATCAGGGAAAATAGTTTATATGATAAACAATGTATCCTTTTTATTAAAGACATTAGGAACATGAGATAGTTTTGTTGTAAGGCTTCTAAATTTATTATCATTAACAAATATTAATTATTTGAAATTCTTCGTTCTCTGCCTATAGGACCATGCAAGGTGGAAGTGAAATGAGTGGTAGTGCCTCTGAACAGCAAGAAGTTAGCCCTCTAAACAGTCAGTACTCGACACACCAGCCGGGGATTGAGTACTCCTTGCAACGGCAACGTGAGCTATACCCGCACATGATCCAGCCACACATCCACAGTAAGTAAATGCTCAAAATATCATCAATACGGTACTAAACTTTATAAGAGTATTTTGTTAACTAATTATTGATTATTTAAAACTAGCTAACATAGCTGGCATTTTAGATATATGGTACCGAGTTATATAATGGAATATTCCTCAGTAGGAGGTAAAGAGTCACAGTGAGAGGGAAGATAACGGTGTGAAGAGTGGCAATGAGTGAAATACCCCAAGAGTTGGTACGAGGACCAATCCAATTCATAATACTGTATACATAACCTGACAGAAAATAGATCGCATCATATCAATGTTTGCTGAAATGCCACCACACATTTACAAACTCCCTCACATATTTCCTAAAAATAAGGCAAAAAAAAAAAAAAAAAAAAAAAAAAGGGAAATGACCTGTCTTAAACTGAATTTGACTTCTCGTGCATTTTTCTCATTTAGTCCCTACTCTCTTGAGCACCCATTCACTATGTATATTTAACTTCTTGGTCTTCCTTTATGCTCCAATTCACTTAAATATGCTCTCTTAACTATCATCATCCATATATTCATTGTTAATTGAAATTTGAATTTGTCTTTCTGCAGTAATTGTCCTTTGTAGTCATGCATTCTAACCAAACTTTTCATTGTTCCCTTGGCCATTTATTTTCCATTGTTTCCTTTACAACTAGATCCGAAATGCTTCATAATTTTGAATAATATTTTGTGTTTTAGATATCACGTGCTTTTTCTTCTATAGATTCAGGACGACCGAGCAGTACGCAAGGAGTGTATAGCGGATATGAAGCGGGTGCGTCACCCTTGGCTAGCTACTCTCCAAGCACTCCACAGGCTACACCCCTCACAACCCAGGCATCATCCAGTATTTCACGAATCACGAAGTCGTCATCACCACCTACAACTGCACACGCCACAACGTGGTCTAATCCACATATAAGACAGGTATATCTTGCCCATCTATCTCACATTTTTAGCTATAAAGTTTTAATAGCTCTCATAATTTAGAATATGTAGCTGATAAGAGTTTAGTTTGCAGCTACAAAAAGAGAAGCCTCAAATTTTACTTGTCTTCAATGACATTAAATAATTGAAGTATTCAGACAGCCCATGATTTTCACAAGGGTTAGATTCCTGTAAAACCTATTTTAAGAAGGCTCTACACAAATTTATCTTAAAGATACATATGGGGAAAATAGTTAGGTACTGTACTCGCCTAATTGAACTTACTTAATTTTGAGTATGTGTGGGAGAGTGAGTGAGCCATTATATTTGTAAAGTGGTGTCAATACTGTTTTTATCAACTAAAGATGACTTGAGTATGAAATTTACACTTATTTTTCTCAATTATTTAGAATTACATTTTTTGTATTCACTTACAGGCTGAAGGATATAGCTATACTAGCAGCATGAGTCCATCACGATCTCCTTCAACTCCATCATATACACCATTAAGCTCTTCAAGTCGCTCGCTACCTTCATACACAGCTCCGGCCTCCTCAGGTAAGTAACTTAGCTATTTTGGTACAGCTTTAAGAATAAGTGATCTCTTCCTTGAAAATATTTACTGGGATATGTTTGTTTTATTTGTTGGGTGTTCACTTATGATGAAGTGAGTGTGTTCATGAAAATATTTACTGGGATATGTTTGTTTTATTTGTTGGGTGTTCACTTATGATGAAGTGAGAGTGTTCATGGATACCAACCGGGCTGTAGTCGATATGTCGGCCTGCGGGCCACTCCAAGCAACAGCCTATTGGTTCAAGGTCTCGCAAGTAGAGCCTAGCCCTAGGTCAGGCTTGGGAGTAGAACTACTCCCAGAATCTAGGTACAATCAGGTACATAAACATGCTTTTATTTGTGGGTTTAGTGTGCACTACTCACTCCTGTAGCCCATCCTGTACAGCTTGAATATATACTTTCTTGAATTTGTTTGAATGTTGCCATCATCATTTTGAATGTTGTCATCATGTTGTCTTCAGTGTCTTCGTAAATCAGATTTCTCAGGTTCACTATTTTTCATATTTTATAGTGCTGTCTTATCAAATTTGATTGAAAAAACATGAAAAAATCATGGACCATTATCAAGTTGTGTAATGACTTCACACAACTTGATAATGGTCCAGGATGGATCAAAACTCATTGTTTCTCCATCTTCTGATGTATGGTTTGGTCATCATATTCACCTTCAGCTGTCTCAGCATATTCCTGTAGTCTCTTTAGTCCTTGAAGGATTTCACCCTCTGGGTGGCCTTCCTGTTGACTCTGACCATTCTGTTAGTGAACAATGTGCCTTCTGTTGGAGCAGTACTGCCTTAGTGTTCATTCCTGGGGATTGTCTTATCAAACTACAGATACCTTCTTTTCTGATGAAGAATGGGTCCTGTCATGTCCTTCTCATTGAGTTATTCTTTCATCCAGAAATCATCATGCCGTCTGTCTTATTGATGCCTTGTGTTGGTATTTTGAGTTCTTGATTCTTTGGCTTTTACCTTCTTCAGTATTTGCTTCATGTTCCCTTGTTTCAGCACTTGTTTGTAATGGCAAACAGTTAATCAATAGGGTGGTTAAGTCCAGTCTGTTCCTGGGCATATGATCTCTGGAATTATACTGCTCTGTCTTCTTTCCATCTGTGTCTACAGCCAGTATTCCAACCCAAAGTTTCTAACAGGGTCCTGGTGACTCGGTACTTACCTGGGATGGTAGTTTCTAGTCTGAAGTGTCTGGTTCAATCTGTGGGGTCCTTTGTCATGGTTAGCAGTTTGGTTCCCATGAGGCCTGCATAGTGAGTAAGCTGATGGTAGTAACCAAGGAGTGCCAACCCAGATATAAAGTGCTGAGTATAAGGAAATTTCCCTTTCTAGTTTCCACCTCAGTAGCTGCTCATTTCTGCCCTCGAGTTCCCGTTTGTTGTGTTGGGTTTTCAGTGAGGCTCAAGTGTGGGGGGATGGCACACCCTAACCCTTGGGGAGCTTGGAGAGCCACTTCATTGCATTCAGGTTTATTGGCTTGGTCAGGAGTAGCTAGTTCAAATAGAGTTGTTTAGCATTTAGACATTTCCAAATATTTTCTTGTAAGTAAAGTTGTTGAAATGTTTCCTCTGTCAGTGGTTGACCTCGATTATGGGTCGATGTTTGGTCCTCATGAGGTCTCTAGCCATAATGAGTGGGCATGCAAATACATTTCCTGTCCCTAGTATCCTTAATGTGTCACTGGATTTCTGTCATTTTCACTGTTGTTCCTATATATCCTGGTATGGTAAGCTGATGGATGTTCTTGAGGTGTAATTCAAAATAGAAGACCACATTTTTGCCCTGGAGTCCTACTTTATTGTGTTTTGTTACACTTGACAAATGTTTTAGGGACACGTTTCATTGCAGAACTTTTTGTCTTGTGGAAGCGACAATTAGTTTTTATTGGTGGAAATATTATGTCATGTATTTATGCTCACTTTATATAGTATCATCTGGAGAATGTGTGTGTTTTTAATGTAAATGCTTAATGTAAACCTGGATAATTTTAATTTTGCTGGCATTACATTCTGCATTTAATTTTGCTGAGCTTATGACTGAAATGTTGTCATTTCACTGCAACCAGACGTCATTAAACTAAGCTCTGTCCAAGTGGAGTTTCACAGTACAATACTTGCAAATGCACATTCTGTCACTTGCACAAATAGAATTATTTGTTGGATAATCTGGAGTGTACTCTTGTTATTAAGTGTAATTTTTGTTCAGCTTTGTTCATATGAAATAAAATAAATTAAAGGTTTCACTAAATATTTGCTAGCTTTTAGCTGTAGTAGAGCCAAAGGTTCTGTGTAACTGAAAGATTCTCTTGCAGGAATGTGGCAGTATAGCAGTCTAGGTGCAGAGGGAGCAAGTGTAGGGCCATCCACCAGCTCAGTTCACCCCGGCTCTGGCACTGGTCACCAAGGTGGAGGTGCACCAGGCACTCAACCCGAGCTCAACGACATGTTGCAAATCCTTGACCCGTCTGGCTCCACAAACTTTGATGACCTAAACATGTTTGGCACTAACTTTGAATGAGAAGCATTGCTTTTAGTGTTGCATCCTAGGCCTGCTCATCATTTTTGAAGCACTTGGGTAGTATGGCAATGTTTAGGGCAAGTCTTGGCATCCACCATCCGAGAATTTTTGTTGTATCTCAGCAAGTGCCTCTGTGACAGCATTATCTAATTTTCTGGTTACCAGTTATTGATAATTTTGTATGTAGTCACCTCTATGAAGGTATAATGACAAATTGTTTGTAATTAGTATAAAGTTCAAATAATGTTGGATACTGAAGCTTGCCTATCAGCGTTGCTGCCTGAGAAGCTCTTGTAAGTGGTACGACACCCAGTTTACCAGAGGACATGGTTCACTGAGTGGATATTTAGGTGCTGGATAATGGAAGTGAATACTGACAGGTTATAGCCTTTAGCTATTGTATAGTGGGTGCACCACTTTCAGGACATCTTGTGTTATTAGGTCATTCAACCTCTTTCATATATGCATTAATTTCTTACAGTTTTTCTGTTCATATAGTATTTTTGAAGGCAGTATATCAGTTGAGAAAATCCAGCATTTATTGCTTATACAGTATTACCATACATAGTGCAACATTTGGAAAATATTTGTTGTAAAATAATGTTTCAATTGTTGTGCTGATAATCAAATTGCAGTCTGCAATTCTAATTTTTATTTGCTGGTAATCAAAGTGTTTCGTCCTTTATAGTTGTTACTCTTATATGGTCCCCTAAAAGGGGAACTAATGATTGAATTATTTTTTCATGCTATACTTTTATCTTAAGAATTTTTACCACACTGTATATTTATGCACATTTAGAAAGCTAGAGCTCAGGCACATGTCCAGGAATGTTATGCATTTAATGAAGAAAGTGTAAGTGTCTCAGTGTTTACACAAGCTACTTCAAGTCTAGTGGTAACCTAGCGGTATGACACGAGTCCTCATTAAAGTGATGTTTCCCTTCCTCCCCCACATTGGAATTTTCAATTCTTGGAATCAGTTAGAAGTATATTTTGTTTATCAGTTTTCCTCAAGCACCAGGCAGGTCTTGTGTTTTGTAAATGAGTCATAATGAAGGGAAAGAGTTGTTTCAAGTTCTCCTGCCTGCGTGTGTCAGGTCACGAGGAAGACGTTAGGGTGGTTAGGGACTTACTAATTGTTTTTGTATTTTTTTTATACATTACTGAACTAGGGTTTTGGGCACTAACATATGTCTTCATTTTGAAAACGTAAATTTTATTTGAATTTTTTTTATATTAAGTTGTTCAGGTGTTATATTTTGCAATATTAGATGGATTTTGAGATTGTAAATTTGAATTTTCGAGTACATTACTTTGTAAGTTGAATAACAATTATCAAGTTATTCTCTAATTTTTGTGGTTTTCCAAGCCCTTATTTTATTGAGTGCTTGGTTTGTACAATGACTTTGTAATATATATATTTTGTCCTCTTATGATGTCAGTACAAGGTATCTCAGTGCTCTGAGAAAACATTTTGCACGACTGGTGCCCTCTCACCACTATCTATTTAATTTTTTTACATATCATTCTTAACTAGAGGGACACAGTTGACTTTTAGCCCAGTTTAGCATTGGCCATGGATGTGAAAATCTATGGTTTTATAATATTTATATATTTTTTTAGGTACTTGCATTTGCTTTAATGTAAAAGCATGTACCCTGCAAAATGATAAACATACCAAATATGAAGCAAAGTCGATCCATGGGTTTTAATGCTTAACTGCTGACAGATGTTGAAGGCTGAAAATAAAGCTCACAAACATTATGCTTTTCAAGACAAAGTTATTGGCCATTTTAATTTATGCCAGAAGTGGAATGGCATATTGAATTTTTTTGTTTTTTTCAATACAAGTGACAGCACTGAATCGAGTATAACCTTTTACTTCATGCTCACATACTATGAAAATAAATCTGATGTTTCTATCTGGTATTGTTTAGAAAATGTTACATATTGGATAAGTCTACAAATAACCTTTAATGCCTTAATACAGTTAGGAACTCCTCCTTGAAAAGATTGTCTTTGATTGTCTTGTATAAAGCTTTCTAAGATGTGTTAATTTTATATTTTGTTTTGTTTGTATTTATAATGACTTATTTGAGGTTTACAGCATGGAGCTGAAGTTCATGGTATCCCTTCTTCCTCTGTCCATTTATCACATTTTCTCTCATATTTTTTCTCTCTCTGCATGCATCACCTCATTCTGCATTACATTCCAGTTATCCACAACTTTCACCAGCAATCAAATTTGTTTGTCTTTACTTTCTCCTAGTTTATTTAATTCTTTGTGTAGCTGGAGTAACACGATCTTCCTGGTCCATTACATCCTCATTTCCTTCTATTTACCGGACTGATAAGCTCTAATTTTTCCCATCTATCTCTCATACCTCGGTTCTATTACCCATTTTGTAGCATGGCTCTGCTAACCTGCTGATGCATTTCTTTGTGTGTATTTGCGTGCACGCACACATCTAGTTGTGCTTGCTGAGGTTGAGCTTTGACTCTTCAGTCCTACCTCTCAACATCCAATGAACTGGTGTGCCCGTGCACGCCTGCACACCTGCCTTCCAGCCTATGCTCACAAACTGTTTTTTTTAAAGGAGCAAGTTCTCCTGGACCTTACCTCTTAATCATTAATATGCTAGTGAGATATTGTACAGTATATTCAAATTTTCATTATTTGTCATATTTACATTTGAATGTGTATGAAGTTAGCCTCCACTACTTCCTACTTATTACGTATGTTTTGGGTAGTATTTGTGTGTGCATTTGTGATGCATGCTGTCTTATTTGTGGTTGTGTGGAGAGAAGTTAACACTTGGGATTCCATCTCTTTGTTGTCAGTTGAGTGGGGCAATTACTCTAGACATTCCATTGCATTATCTTATTCTTTTTTTTTTTTTAACGGATAACGTTGACACCCAACTCTTCCCTTTAGTTCATTCTACTTATTCATCTTCTATTCACTTTAGAGGCACTTCCTTGTGTGTCTGAGATTCTCATGTTTAAGATTTCCACTTGTGTTGTGTGATTCTATTTCCCTTCATTTGAAGCAGTCAGTGTTCATTTTGTATATTATGTCTCCCTTAGTTTTCCTTTTATTTAATATTCAATGTATCATACCTTCTGAGTCTCCTTCTTTCTAGTGGTCAGATTCAGTTCTCATAGTCTGTTTTCATTGTTTAGCCCCTTTATTTTAGGCATGAATATTATGGCAAATGTTTGATCAATTTTCTTGTTGAGCTCTGAGCATATGGGCTTTAAACTGATGAAGCACATTCTAGGAAAGACTTCACCTGGGTGATGAATATTGTGACTAATGATTCCCAGTTATGATTTCTTAAGGTCTTTCTTGTGTTATCTAGCTTGACATATGTCACTGACATTTTCCTGTTTTGCGTGCTTCCTTTCAATGGGCAATACAGTGCCCGCTTCAAGAGAAGGCTATCCTTCAGTCTGTAATATTCATCTGGTCACTGGTCTCCCATTTGGGTCCTCATTGCTTTGTCTTACTATTACTGAATGTCAATAACCGTATTATGCAACTTTAATAAAGTTGTCCTTCAGCATTTTGTGGTGTTCAGCTACCCTTATCTTCTGTATGATCCTCACATTACCAGTATACACAAACATTGACATGTAGGGATATAGACTCTCAGGTAAGTTAGTAATTTAAATGCACAGTAGCAGTCCTAGGCGTTCAATCCCCGACCGTCCAAGTGGTTTGGCACCATTCCTCCCCATCCCATCCCAAATCCTTATCCTGATCCCTTCCCGGTGTTAAATAGTTGTAATGACCTGGTGCTCTTCCGTGAAAATTCCCTCCCTCCCCACTTGCTACCCTTCCCCACTGACTTCTCCCCATGCAGTGCTTTCTCTGTTTTCTGTCAAGTCCTGAACCTGGTTTAGTAACATTCCAGTTATCTCCAGCCTTTTTTTTTTTTAATTTGTATTATATTCTCCATAAATAATGTCCAAATCTTTCTAGCAATCCAAGACTTATAGAGTAAATCCATTCTTTTTCCTACCTTACCCTGGTCACTTTTTTAAACAAATTTACTAGATTCATTAAGCATGTTATTTATAGTAATGAAATTTAATCAATCCAAGTGTTCCATTTGATATATAATTATCTTCAACACCTCAATAGAGGAAGAGAGGGAATAAGGCTGCATGTAAGGAGAGAGAGTAAGAGTGAGCGAGTTAGAAAGGGAAGGGAATGGAACTATCAGGGAAAAGTGCCTGTTGTTGTTTTAGATTCAGCTACTCGGAACAAAAGTTGCAAGTAGCACGGGCTATGGTGAACCCGTAGTGGACTTACCCGACACAGGAACGGGGCTGTAACTGGAGAAAGTGCCAAGCCATTATGACTATATAGCACTTGGAAGGGGTCAGGATAAGGATTGGGGATGGGATGGGGGGAAGGAATGGTGCCCAACCACTTGGACGGTCGGGGTTTGAACGCCGACCCGCATGAAGCGAGACCGTCGCTGTACTGTAGCTCAAGTGATTGTGAGAGAGAGAGTAAGAGAAAGAAAGAGTATTAGAGAGTTTGATAGAGAAAGTGAGAGTATAAGAAAGTAAGAGAGAGAGAGGGAAAAATATATTTCAACTGGATATGGTAAATGCATTTGTGGTGAATAGATAATGAATTGTTACTTAAGGTCTTGGAATGGGTTGAAGCATCCAGCCTACATACCAAGATTTACTTATTCATGAACAACTCTTTACATACCAGTTAAAGAGCCTGTCTCTTGGCACAGGCCATCCTAATGAATTGCCTAAAATTGTACTGGCTTCTTTTAGCAGCAACAGTAGACTGATGTGAAGCTGAAAGCATGAACATTCCTCTCAAATTGCATTTGAGTCGAGTGCTTCATGTTTTTTATCTATCTAAAATTGTATCTATTGAAACCTGCATTATTATTATTATTTTTGCTCCTTTGGAGCAAGTTTTGTTGGATGATCTTGCAGAAAAGGTTTTTGCATCTTTAAACTTTCCAGTCATCTTCATTAGACAATACAAAGGATAAGTGACAGTGATCTCATCAACCTGGGTTGCTGATACTGTTGAACAATTGTCTCGTGTAGAGGTGGAAGCTAGTACAGTAACTCTACCAAATTGCCTTCTACCCTATAATTTCATTTCATTTATTTTAACTTTTACATGATTTGAGCCTCAAAGACCTCTCATTAGAAAGCCTATCATATTTTCCTTAAATGGAAAATTAGTCGGTAATTCAAGGCATCATTCAATTTAACTTGGTTTGTATGTGTACGCACATGTGGTTACCTGAGAGTGCGAGTGAGTGTGGAGGACTAACTTGTGATTATTTTGCATTTATTTATTTAGGTACTGCACTACTGTTTACTGTGACTTAAATCTTAGTTTTAAGACTGTGTATTGATTTGGCCTCTACCAGCTCTTTCTTCATTTCATTCCTAATATTCGTAACTCCCACATTGTAGTAGTGGTAGGTTGTTACAACTTTTTTGGAACATTTATGTTTCATGCTTCTACACATGTCTCCTCGTTCAATTTCTCCTCATCTGAGACGGTATGAGCCTTGTCTGTTTTATTTTTGTCTTTTAGATACATTGTTAAGGCCATATTCAGATTTTTTTGTTTCCTGTATTAGCATCATGGCAGATCTATGGACCTTCATAATTATACTTTTGTTTCATGATGTGTGGGGTACGATGCTGGTGTTGCATACTCCAGGACTAGTCAAACAAAGGCTGTGTATAATGTTCTGGATTCCTTTTATAGGTTCTGAAACACTGTTCATAAGTTTGCTAATTTTGGGTATGCTGCTGATATCCTGGTTATGCGGCACTGGTATGAGACTTGGTTTGATGTTCGTTGTGTGTGTGTGTGTGCACGTGCATGCGCGTGTGTTTGGAGTGGGGGGGGAGCACGAAGAAGAAATGGGCAGGGTGTGTAAATTACCCAAGTGTAATTACACACCCTGTCCACCGTCAATTGGTGTGTGTGTGTGTGTGTGTGTGTGTGTCTCTGTGGTGTGTGTGTCCCCTTGTGTGTGTGTGTGTGATTCCCCTGAGGATTTTGTAGGTTGTGTGTGTGTGTGTGTGTGTGGTGTGTGTGTGTGTGTGTGCGCGCGTGTGCGTGTGCGTGTCTCCTGTTGCTTAGGTATTCCTCTATCCACCGGAGTACCTTCCCTCTCACTCCAGCCTGCATCTCCAACTTTCGCACTAGCCTCTTGTGTGGCACTGTATCAAAGGCTTTCTGACAATCCAAAAATATGCAGTCTGCCCACCCTTCTCTTTCTTGCCTTATTTTTGTTGCCTGGTCGTAGAATTCAAGTAACCCTGTGAGGCAGGACCTGCCATCCCTGAACCCATGTTGATGCTGTGTTACAAAGTTCCTTCGCTCCAGATGCTCCACTAGTTTTTTTCGCACAATCTTCTCCATCAGCTTGCATGGTATGCAGGTTAGGGACACTGGCCTGTAGTTCAGTGCCTCCTGTCTATCCCCTTTCTTGTATATCGGGACTACGTTAGCTGCTTTCCAAGTATCTGGCAGTTCCCCTGTTGCCAGTGATTTGTTATACACTATGGAGAGTGGTAGGCTCAGTTCTCTTGCTCCTTCCTTTAGAACCCAAGGGGAGATTCCATCTGGGCCTATAGCCTTCGTCACGTCCAACTCTAATGCGCGCGCATTTGCATGTTCACATGTAGATACTTCATACATATGTACATGCTGTATATCCAAAGACAATTGGTATATAAAAAATATAGGTCAGGTCACATATTCGACTTTACTTTTGTCAAAATTTTGAATTGGGCGTCAACACCATCTTCATAATTTTGAGGTATCAGTTTCTGTATTTGTTCCATAGACATTCTGTACTGAAGTTCCATAGACATTCCATAGACATTCTGTACCGTACATTATTACTAATGATAATTTTTCCTTCATATTTGCAACTAGTTTGGTATATTTCAGTTCTGTCCCAGTCAGTATATTTGTTTGTATTTTGAACACTAACAAATCATTTGTGTATATTTAACAAATAAGGCTTCTGTGTTCACTGTGACACTATGTATGACAAATTAGACTTTGCAAGTTATTTAATTAATTTCCAGTGTTATTTATATTTGTTTATTTCAGTACTTCAATTAAATTGCTACTTATTCTGTTTAGATAGAAATAATGTTGTGAAGATTATCATCAATCACATAAACTAATTTACAGTTTCAAACCCTAAAGGAAATGCACATAAAGTTCATGAAAGATCTTGCAGAAACTATGATGTCAAATATAGCCCGATTGGCAAGGATGTGAAGATAAATTTCGACAAACACAAGACTGTTACGTTTACATAAACAAACATGGACATTTATCAAAAACAATAAAATCAGACCCTAATATTGACTGGTATAAAAGGAAATACATCACACAATTTGAAAATCAGTAATGGTAGTTTTCAGTGTCGCTTAGTTAAAGCCATAATGTAGTTTAGTTAAGTATTGTCAAAGGAGTTAGCAGATAAACGAGACTATAGAGATAGAACTAACCTTGTACTTGGGGCGTGAGGGGTATCTCAAGGTAGAGATTATATTCATAGTTCATTTACTGTACAGGATAAAATTAACTAATACCCTTTATTCAGTACCGTTAATAGTTTATTTTTAATTAGTAATTCTAACAAAAAATTATTGTGGCTACTAAGACATAAATACATTGAAGAAAATTTAGTGCGAGATAATTGTCAACATTTGTGCTGAAGTCATGAAAAGCTAATGTATTAGATGTTTTAGTTTGTTGCTCAAGTAATAACACCATTCACAAATTTTAAGATGAGGGTTGGTATGTTTGCAAGATACTGAAAGTCAAAAATGTCTTGGCTTGGATTTTTGTGTCTTCAGCAAGCTCTACATTTTCTTACAAGCACTCTTATTATATGCTTGAAGAAATGTTCTCAGCTTGCAGGTAACATGTCCTTCAACATCTGTTAAAATATGCAATTGGGTTACAAGTCGAGAAGCTACGACCTTTTTATTTGACACGTGTCGATGAGATTGGAGATAAAGTTGATTGTTTAAATGAGTAGCAAAACATATTAGTTTGTTTCAAACTCGTGTTCAAATAAACAAGTTTTAACTGCTGTCCCTCTAGCACATAATTATAGGTGAATAAGACTGATTTGCAGGACAATGCAAATTTAGGTCTTTAATGTGTGTATGCAAAAGCAGGCATGACTGTGTATGCATTAGAAGAATAACTTGTGTACAATGCAAGGTTTATATATATATGGAAACTATACCTGTAAATACAAACCATTTCTGTATGCAAGTGTGAATACCACTTATTTTATCTGTATTTTTAATGAAAACTAACCAAATTGGTAACGTTGTGCTGGTATAAATGTACATTGGTGTTAACCGAGTGATATGAAGTGAGGAAAACACTGGAAGAAAGTGGGAGGAATCTGAAAAAACTGTGTTAAAAGTGTGATGCAGTTCATTTGAGTTGAACACGAAAGTTATAGTGTATGTATTAATTGAGGTATTTAATGATTTTGTTAAGCCATTATTTGTGCATCA